CCAAATGGTTGATAACGGACCGAATCTTGATTCTAGAATTCTACCTTTAAAAAATTTGAAACTTAATTTGGATTCAGACAATCAATCTTGTAACGAGGATGTCTCGAGTCAAGCTGGAAGTGAGTCACAGAACACTGAGAATCATCAAGAAAATGGCGATGGTGGCTTTAATAGGCCCGTGAAATACTTCCCAAAGAAGAAAGAGATCAAAATCGACGAGAAAAAAATGGTGGCTGATGGTATCGACGCATCTCAGGGGCAATCTGAGGAAAATGCCGATGATTGGCTGCCAGCTGTCAGTAGAAGCACTCATAGAAGATTCCTCAGGAGGAAAGCTAGGCGTGAGACGAGCGAAGAACAGTCTGAGCTCGGTAGCCAACAAGGCAACTCGAGTGATGTAGTGAATGAAAACCTAGACGATGTTCCCGAACTTTTGGTCGACGAAAGTTATGGTAAGGTCACCGACGAGATGAATGGAGATGATGGGGGTATTTCTGGAAATTTTGCTCTGATGAAACTGGAAGAAGATGGTGGTGCCGAAGAGGAGGAATATATCGAAACAACGGATCAAGAAAGCCAGGGAAATGAAAATTCGGATACTTTGAATACGGATGATTTAAGCAGTGAACAGAGCTGGACACTCAGGTCATTATCCGAGTCTAGCGTGGCGTGTATTACCAGTGATTTTGCCATGCAGAATGTGCTGCTTCAGATTGGTTTACGTCTTCTTGCACCCGGAGGAATGCAGATTCGTGAGCTTCACAGGTATAATAAATAGGGATTGTTATAGTTCCAATTGAATCGCTAATTGATTCTTATCTGAGAAATTATTCTTTCTTATTATATTTGATTATTTAACTCGTTATATTTTTGTGTGTAGATGGGTGTTGAAATGCCATGCTTGCTTTAAGGTGACTACTGAGATTGGTAGGATTTTCTGCCCCTCGTGTGGAAATGGAGGCACACTAAGGAAAGTAGCTGTTACGGTTAATGAAAATGGTATTGTGTTGGCTGCTCGTCGACCTCGCATATCCTTGCGTGGAACAAAGGTATTATTTTTACTTTATTTCAAATTCTTTATTGGTGCAATCATCTATTTTGCGTAAAATCGAATTCCCATGAGATTTGATTACGATTACATGTGTGTGTGTCTATACGCAGTTTTCAATACCTTCACCACAAGGAGGTAGAGAAGGAGTTACCAAGAATCCTATCTTACGAGAAGATCAACTTCCGCAGAAGTTTCTTTATCCCAAGAACAAGAAGAAAAATAACCAGGTTTGACTTTTTTTTTTTTTTTTTAGCTTTTTCGCAATTTATGTTCGTTAGTTATCGTTCTACGATGTTCGGAGAAATGACTAGGGTTAGCTGTTTTGTAGGACGGTGACGTTTTCATACCAGATGATGTTTTCCGGCACACTAATAAGAGAGGTCCAATCCAGCCTCCAGTTAGGAAAGCATTAGCTGTTTTCAGTGGAAAAAGGAACCCTAACGACAATCATTATGCACCTCCTAAACGTTGATTTTATCGTATTTCCGATTTTTATTTATTAATCGGACCCTGAGAATTCTAGTATAGCAACTTCGATGCATGTGGGTGGCAACTTAAAGAAGAAGAAAGTGAGTTTTTTTTTTTTCCTTCTGTTTTTGACATTTTTATTGTTTATTTTTCGTATTGTGGACAATTTGCATGTATTGCAAGTATTTTAAGTTTATGTGATTTTTGAAACATTTTGTTATTTTATATATTTTTTATATCATTTTATTTATTTTATTTGTTTATTCTTTTTTGCCTTCTCTCTGTTTCCAAAGCCAATACCTTGATGACAATCCTATTTTTGCATTGCATAATTGCAAGTTTTGATCAATTAAAAAAAATATGGGATTAATTTTTTTAAAAAGAGTAAATTACGATAAAATTCCTCATGTCATGGTAATTACAACCATCCCCTCAAATATGAATCTTCTTACACGTCCATCTCCAGTTTGTACTCGTTTTATCTCATTCGAGCTCCATATTTTGAAACAAGATGATCATAAAATGTGTCTCTTAACTTGTAAATATCAAATGGTGGTGTATCAGAAATTACATTTTTTCACAAAACGAGTACAAATTAGAGAACATTCCACGAAAAATTCTGCTTAATTTGATACCGTAAGGGCGGACGTGTAAGAAAATACATTGTTGCGAGATTGTTGTAACTATCCAAACATGAGGGGTTCTTTCGTAATTTGACCTTACCTCAAGGGTGGCCGTAATTCATTAAAGTTGCAACCGAATCTTGTAGTATAACTTCTCTATGAATCAAACATTAGATTCCAACAAATTCGACAGTACATTGAAATTCAGTTTTACAAATCTGAAGAAAAAAATGTTAATACAAAGAATTGGAACAACCTTCAACACATCAGAAACATAAAAGTTAAAGTAACTATCTATTTTCTTTTTCCACATTTACAGTGTTAGCATCATCAAAGTCAAAGTCAACTACGAAGAGAGCTCGAGTTCAGCCCAAGCCAAAGACGACGCCTTCATCTCAGCCGAAATAGACGTATCTATCCCGTTTTCCAACATAGCGGACAATTCTCCCATCGAAATCCTAGTACTCGAACTAGGACATATACACAGTTTCGCCACCTCACACACCACTTTCAAATCCTCGTCTCTGAAATGTTTCAACGCGGGGTCCACAACACTAGACATAATATCCGGCATTTCCAAATACTCCTTCGCCTGAAAAAAAATATTAAAAAAAAATATAATCATATTAAACTAATCGGTCGAAAAAAAAAAGTTCGAATTTTTTGGTAGTTTCAACTAACCCAATCGACTAAGCATCCTTTGTCTTTGGAATACGAAGGTCTCCCGCTGATAATTTCGAGTAATAGAATCCCAAAAGCGTAAATATTTCCCTGTACATCGAGATATCGCCTTTCCAAAGAATTTGGAAGTATACAAACAGCCCCTTCGTTGCTTATTGTGCCTGTGCTCTTCTCCGATCTCGAGAGCACCGTTTTCCAGCACTCAAAATCGACGAGCTGGATTTAAAAAAAAATAAAAAAAATTAAGAGCAGCTAAATTTTGAATAGTAAGGCCTCGTTTAATCGTAAGATTAACAAATAATAATTAAATAATTGGATCTTATTGGATGTTCGATTAGTCAAATAACATTTTTGGCCGGCCCACAATTGTGGAAAAAATTGTTCTAATCTTATCTTAAGAACCAAACGAGGCCTAAGTTGATGTGTTCGTATAAAAAAAATATTCTTAGGCTTCACCTTGGGAGAAAAATCGTCGGTGAGATAAATGGAACTCGAGCTCAATTCGGAAATAGTAAACGGAGGATCGATTTCCGTGTGAAGATACTTTAGACCCTCGGCAATTCCAATTATAATTTTCATTCGCCTCGTCCAAGAAAACTGCCACCCTTCTCCATCTGCAAATTTAATCAGAATAAAATTCCCCACAAATCAAATATAATAAATAACAAGAAGAAAACAAACATAAAAATCGAAATTAATTAATTAACTCACAATGAAGGTGCTCGTAAAGTGTCCCGTTCGAAGCATATTCAAACACAAGCATCCTCGTAAATTCGTTGCTTTCTCTGCAATAGCCTAATAATTTTCCTACATTTTTGTGGTTCAGCCTAGCCAAATCCGCCACCTGGACAATGAAAACCCGCAATTTAAAGTTCGATTTTTTTTTTTTTTTTCGAAAATGGAAATGTTTAATGAATATAAAAAGAAAAAAAGGGTTACCTCTTTTTGAAAGTAAAGTTCGAGATAGCCTGTCCAATGCTCTTCTTTAATGCAAAGGGATATTACAGCGATTTCGGGTCCGTTTTTCATTGTACCTTTGTATACTATGCTGTCTGGGGAAGAACCGATAATGTTGCTAAAATCTTCGCATGCTACCTCGAGTTCTTGTCTGCTAAATCTTGTTACATCTTTTAATGTTACTGAATCTGCATTAGAATTTTATTTTAGAATTTACGAGCAGAGAAAACTTGTACTTGATTATGATGACGTCACCATTTTTATTTTATTGCATTTTATTTTAGTACCCCGACTTGATAAAAAAACTCCCCGTGCTACAAATATTAGCAAAAAAATAGCCTACGATGCAATTTTTTTAGCCCACAACCCTCTAAATGGTGCGTATTTAAAGGGTACTTTTGCTAATAAAAATGAATCATAGGGGCAATTTTGCTAATATTTATTACATGGGGAGTTTTTTGATAATTAGAGTAAAACACAGGGGGTGCTAAATGCAAAAAACCTTTTTATTAGATAATTACTTATTACATTATCATGGAAAATGTTGTAATTCCTAACCAATTCAATCATGTAATCCTAAGTCCTAACCAATTCAATCAAGCTTATCGAAATTGCCAAACGAGGCCTAAAGGGACTAAAGATTTAATTAAACATACAAAGAATATTTAGTCGAGCCAAATCGTATATTTAGTTGAGTAAATGGTATGAAATGTTGGCCTACTGAAATTTTGGTACGTGTTTTACCGCATTAACATTCCTAAATTTACCTCTAGAGGGGTATTTTCGTAATATAATACATAGTTCAGGGGGTGCTGTAATTACCCCAAACAGGAAAGGGGTTTTCGTAATTTGACCATAACTCAAGGGGTGGCCATAATTTGCCCCAAAAATAATTACATTATCATGGACAATGTAATCCTAACCAATTCAATCAATCTTTATCAATCCCATCAACATTGCCAAACAAGGACTAAAGGGACTAAAAAGTAACTAACCTATGTAAATTGTCATGTAGTCCTTTGTACTTCCAAATTTCTTCCACGGGTTAGTAATCGAAGGCTTTCTCTTCCACTTTTGAAGCGCGGTGAAAATAGCAACGACGAAGAGCAAACCGACCATTATCCCAGTCACCGCTTCGAGTGCCAATAGCCAAGCGGGTTTCGACCCGTTGGATCCATTTTTCGACCCGTTTTCGATTGGCCTCCGCTTCGTATTAACAGGTGGAGCAGCACCACCTATAATAAGAAAGTACTAATTAAATAGACCATATAATTGCCTCGTAAAATATTTTAAAAAAAAATCAAGAAAAATTCAAATCCAACAAAAGATTGATTTTTTACGAGCCCATTTTATCGTTAATTTTGTAAAGAAAATGTGCAACTACGTACCACATTGTGCAGAAGGGCGCTGCTTTGGATCTTTCGCTTGAAGGCAATTGCCTTGAAAACTTGGTCTATATAATAATTATAAAAAAAGAAAATCGAATACAAAATGAAAAGTTAGGGCAACGAAAAATAGACGAAACTAAAGTATAATTACAAAATAACCATCGCACGGTACCTCGGTAGATACTCCAAGCACTTAGGTATGCTCCCACCGAAAAAATTAAATGATAAATCGACCACTTTTAATTGCGACAATCCACAAAATCCCATCGCGCTTCCTTTCGAAGCATACCTAAAATTAACGAATTTATAAAAATTTAGTCTAAATAAAGAAAATAAAATTGAAGAATTTATAAAATTAATTAATAATTATTGGCTATAGCTTTCGTATGTAGACCACATGTGCCTCGTGTACAATGCAATCTCTTCGTATAGTTTAGTTTCCACTAATTATTTATTTCAAAGATACAATTTTACGACGTAAATTAATTTCGGTGAACGGTTATTCTTGTCAAAAAATTTAAAGGGTCAAAATATTTACGAGTCGTAAATATATATATACTTACATTTCATGTGTGCTCGACGGAGACTCTGAGCTATTAGTAGCAGGAATAGCTCCTTGAAACTTGTTTCTGTCGAGCCGAATTTCCTCGAGGTATTTCAATTTACCAATTTCGTAAGGTAACTTTCCACTCAATCCATTCGATTGCAGATTCCTTTACAAAAATAAAAACGATAAGCAATAACGAAACAGAAGAGTAGTAATTATCTTATGCAAAAAAAAAAAAAAACGAACATTTTCTGAATGCTGGTTAAATTTCCGATCTCGTGCGGGATTGGTCCACTAAGCTGGTTTGAGCCTAAATCCAAGATTTTGAGGTTTTTCAGCATGCCGATTTCTTTAGGTATGATGCCGATCAACGAATTCCCATGCAAGATTCTGTTTTAATAAGAGGAAGACAATTACGTCAGCAAGTTACTATAACTCGATTTTCTATAAAAAAAAAATGAAAAAAAAATAGCTAATTGGAAGAGAAGCTTACAATTCTTGCAAAGTCGAGAGCTGGTAAAATTCTGGCGCGATAAAACCCTTTAAAGAGGCCCCGGATATGTTACTGCAATTCGAACGAAATCAAGAATACGAACTCGAATTAGGGACTAATATTGTCAACTTAAAGATAATGTTGTGTTTATTTATATAAAAAATAAAAAAATAAAAAATCTTACATCTTTACGACATGGTCACTAGCTATTGAACAAGAGACGCCGAACCAGTAACAAGGATCGGAATCTAGAGGATTCCAATTCGACAAAACGAGCAACGGGTCGTCGAAAATAGCTCTCTTGAAAGAAGTTAAAGCTTCAACTGAACCAAATAAACAAAACCCACAATTCCAATTTCAGTAAAAAAACCAAAGAAACTAAGTTACTTAATGAAATTCAGCAATTAAAAATTTTAATTTTAATTTATTTATTTTTTGAATAAATCACTAAGTTTAGTACATATTTTTTACTGAAATAATCACTAAAATCCAAGACTCATGTAACAAAAACCCCACATTGCAATGAATTGATAAATGTAAATCACAATTCACACAGGTAAAGAAATAAACAAAAAAAATAAAAATTTAATGCATTTTAAAGAACAATTTCAATTCAAGAACAAGATCTTCACCTTCATTTCTTGGAAATGCGGTACAGCTGGCAAACAAGAATCCAAAAACGAGTAAAACAACTCGAAAAATCGAAGCAAAATATTTCATATTTCTTCAAGGTAAAAATCAAGCTCAAGAAATTCAAGAAAAACCCATAACGAGAGAGAGAGAGAGAGAGAGAGAGAGAGAGAGAGAGAGAGAGAGAGAGAGAGAGAGAGAGAGAGAGAGAGAGAGATGAAGGAGAGGTGGTCCAAGCTTCTTGAAGATGAAAAAGAAACGCGTGACAGAAAAATCAAGATTCTCTCTTTTTGCTATCTCTTGAAAAAAAAGAGAGAATAAAAAAAATTAATTTGAAGTGGAGAAATCTTTGAATCGGAGAAACAGTAACAACTAACAACAACTACCGGAAGATGGGTAGTGAAGTACAGAAGCAACCCATTATTTGAGGAAGTCTTTGATTCAAAGATTGGTTTTCGCCTAAACAAATTTAGAAATTAAAAAACAAGTCTTTTTTTTCGGATAATATATTATTCGAGCTGCAGAAAGTTTGTTAAAGAGTTGATATTTAAAAAAATATATATATAAATATTAAATAAAAAATTAATCAACTGGGTTTGTGTTTTTGGTTCTTGTTTGAGGAGCAAATGGAATTAAATTTCGAAAATGGAAGAGGTTTATCCTTAATTAGTATATTGGCTAAAATTACGGGGACGCCCCTGAGCGAATGTCAAATTACGAAAATGCCACTCTTTTTTTGGATAATTGCAACTGTCTTAATCAACTATGAATCTTCTTACGCGTCCATCCTTACGGTGTCAATTTCGACATAATTTTCTAAATTTTTAGGATTGTTCTCTAGTTTATACTCGTTTTGTGCAAAAAAATGCAGTTTCGGATGCACCACAATCTGATATTTGCAAGTTAATTAAGAGACACATTTTATGATCATCTTGTTACAAAATGTGGAGCTTGAATGGGGTAAAACAGGAACAAATTGGAGAATATTCCACATAATTTAGAAGATTTCACTAAATTTAACACCGTAAGGGATGGACGCGCAAAAATAATCATAGTTAAGGAGAGTAATTGTAATTACCAAAATATAAGGGATTTTTTATAAATAAACCTTATCTCAGGGGTGGCGTACCATAATATAATTTTAATGAAAGAGAAAGATGAATCGAAGAGGAACTCTGCATATAGACAACTTTTGCTTAAGCTAATGATTGTAATTATTATGGCGAGTGGGATTTGAAGATAACTATTTTTAAAGGATAATCTTGATACAGTACAACTTCGATAAATCAATAATTTTGCGTAAATAATAATATTTTTTTTATCCCTAATTGATAAATTTAGTTGCTTGATGATTTAATATTTTGTCGAATTAATAGAAATTTGTAAATCCCGACTGTATTGGTTTTATAGAGGTTTAATTGTATTATGATATTCATATTCTTTTTTTCTTTTTCGTTTTTGGATAATTCATATTGATACTCATTTCACCAGTGTATTTGGTGTCTTCTTTTTAAGTGATGTTTTAATGTAGATGTGCAAAAATTAAATATCATATTAAATAATATTCATTTAAGTATATTAAAAAGAAATTCCAAAATTGTCATTTACACATGTTCAAAAGTTATTAAATGGTATTTTCTCTCAACGTAAATAAATGCTCATAAATGATAAATGAAAAATGGCAAAAATTTATATTAGTAAAAAAAGAAAATTAATTATACCTTAAAACTCTAAAACGACACTGTATAGTGTATACATTTAAAATGTATTAAAATAAAATTTATCGTTCAACGTTTTATATATTTGTTTAATATTTATAGTATTTAAATAAAATATAAAAAAGCGAGTTGAAAATGAGTTTTATTAACTTACTACAATAAATAAAGGCA